CGTGAGGGGGAGGCCTAGGAAAAATTTTGAGCCGGGGAGGACCTAGGAAAAATATTTTAATTTGGGGAGGGCCTTAGGTAAAAATTTTCCAAGATCCCTTTAACTCTACAACGTTTTTATACACTTTCAAAACATGATTAAACGTCTGTCCCATACATATCGTAGCGATTTTCCAGTCATTGGAATTGGCAGAATTTTACGTTCCAATAATATCCATCCCTATTATTATAATGTATTCGCCCAAATCTCCCACAGTCCCCTTCAAAATCTTGCATTTTCGCCAGAATCGGCGAAACTGGACTACACAGCCAAATTACATGGATTAAAATCGCGTCAATCGCGTCAATCGAAACGATACCGATCCAAAATGTAGGGAAGGCTTGTCTGAAGATTTTGAAAATTAATTTTCGCCGTTCAACGCACCCTTCCCAGAGGTGTGCGTGCGTGCGTCGGCAATGGTCCCGCTGGTCCCGCCTCGCAACTCGCTCGAACTTCTCGGCGTGGATGTCGGATGTCGACGGATTTATTTGGTATTTTTCTTAAACCAAGGACTATTTAAACATTTATATCTATGTCCCTCCAAAGTTAATTGAAAACAACACGTAAGTTGGCAATATTGTTTCCCTGTTTGTAATAAAATTGACGCGGAAGAAGTTCGTGGACGAAAGGTAGGCTCGATTACACTGACTGACCATAACGTTTAATAACTGACTTTAAATTTATAGCTCGATGTACCAGCGAAATTTGTGCTGCCAAATTTGCCCCTCAACATGCAAAACATGGGTTGAAATTCAAAATTTTTCCGGGGGGGACATGCCCCCCCCCCAAAACGCCGGGCCTACTCGGGCTCTAGTGGCGCCTGCGGCGCGATGGCTCGCGCCTTCGGCGCTTCATGCGGGGTAAATTTTCAATCAAAATCTCGTCCTCCCCTTACGAAATTTCACTCTCTATGATTCACGCCGGGGGGAGGGCCTAGGAAAATTTTTTGAGCCGGGGGAGGGCCTAGGAAATTTTTTTGACCTGGGGGGAGGGCCTAGGAAAAAATTTTTTACGCTACCCCCGGACGACCGGCCCCCCCTCCCCGGTAAATATCGTACAGTCCCTTACAGGACCTGTAGGAAGTGGAGCACAGCCATTCAACAGGGCCTGAGGGTCTTCTAGGGGTTGCCAGGACTCTGGCTTTATGGCTGTAGCAAAGTTCAGTAAATATCATATGGACAAATGAATACTATGTATAAGCAGTTGAAGTTAAAATGACCTACTCGCAGGGCTTTAGCCAGCTCAGAATTTTTTTCCATCAGCCCAGGTTCATGATCGGGCGTGGGGAGTGTTTGCCAACTAGGGGAGGTCGAGGGGGAAATTTTGTATTTTAAAGTCTTTAAAAATGCAATTTCCCACATTTTGATAGGGCTTTTGGTAGTTTTTAAGATGTTTTTAAATTTTTACCCAAGATTTTCGTCAACTTTGTCCATCATCAAAAAGTTTTCTGTCACACGCCACAGAAGTTCCTACAATTGACAGAAAAATGGTTGCTGGATAAAGCCCTGTCTACTGGCTCAGAAAAGGCCTATAGACCCTCAAGTTTCTGTTAGAGACCCTGAGGTGGTTTCTGTTATGTGTAGTAGACTTGAATGTTTATATTGATCTTCAAAACAAATGGGTAGCCAGTCCATAATATTTGCCAAGTAGCTGGCCTGTGTGGGCCCCGGTAACAGTGTACATTGTACAACCCAGGCTAGTCACATATGCAATTATACTATTACTATATTACTATTAGCCATACATAGCCTGGCAAAGCCTACATATACCACGTATGAAGCCTCCTCCCTTTACCCTTACTCCCCTTACATTATATTGCAGCTTGCCAGGCAACTGGATGGGTGATATCGCAGTACATGGATTTTCATGCCAAATTTAATTTAGCTTTTGTTGAGGACCCTCTCTCTCTCTTTAGATGTACAGCTTGAAGAGCTACCCTATCCACCATTTCTGATTTTGTAAAAATCAAAACAACTGTAATAAATATGCCATGGAACATTTGTTCCTGGTGTGATGGATTAGTGGTGAGCGAACATTATGAAAACTGCAAACATAAAAGCAGTGAAAATATTTCATGATTTACAGTATGCTATCAGGATTAAATCTGTCACTGTGAAACTAACACTTCCAGTGTATCTAATCAGGAATCTAAAACACCCCAAAGAGGCCCAGGATAATGATTTCATCCTGTCAATCAGACTATCAATTACCCCATCCTTGGCCTAGTTTCTCACTTGTGTATTATACACAAAATCTTCCTGCCAAATAGCAGAAATAATTTGGCAAACTGGCGCTTCATGCCCGTTTACCTGGGAATCATTCCCCAATTTGCAAAATTACGTCTAGCAGCTTGTGATTAACTCTGCTTCATCTATTACTTATGGCCATATAAAAGTGTGCTTAGCAGGCCTGCTTTATTGAGTTATGAATATGTATCTTACATACTTCAGCCCAAGTGATGCTGATATTGAATTTTTCATCAAAGATCCACTTGATGACAATCCCTCAAGAGATAAACAGCTTTAAAAAACAACCAATCAGTGCTTCTATTTTTGTCCCTAAAATTAGACAATCATATAGTTGTGAAATTTGCCTCATGAAGGATGGGGTGGGTACTCCATGAATGGATGGAGAAATAATTACTTTCTTCTCACCCTGCTTTGTACTAACAGCTACCCATCCAACATCATAATTGGATAAGAGAGTAGCTTTGGATGGTTGGAAGACAGCTTGAAAAGAGTTCCCTCCTCAGATATCCTCTCCATCTAGATCTCTATTATTTTATGCCATTCTGATCTGGATTCCCCATAGTTTATCTGCTGTTATCCTATTCCTATTCTTTTCTTTCCTCTTTCGTCACTTGTGACATCGATTTGGAGGCGAAACACCACGGCGGTCTGTCACTACGGCATTCTTTCCCATTGCTATGCGCGTTCTAAAAGGTATCGGGTTACAACACGCTATTTTGGCCTGTTTTGGACTACCCGTAAAATATTTGAAAATACACAAATAATATTTAGGGGTAAATTTCGTCAAATTAAAATGAAATTATCGTCTTAACATCCTTTAAATGTTAGCTTTTTATGTTAAATCAATGATTTTTAAAAATTTCGCTCAGAAAGACGATTATTTTCGGGTTTCCGAGCACAAGTCATGTCACGTTTTTAGGCAAACATCGTTCAAACCTGGCTACGTATATTACCCCAGATCCCCGATTTTTATATTTTTCGCAGACTAGGAATAAGACAAAAAATCGTGTTTTAGGGATTTTTTAATTTCTGATTTTAAGTCTAGTTTTTGTCGACATATTGGTGAAAAAATGGCATTTTTTGACATTTTTCTCACTAAATTACCCATAACTCAAAATTGAGGCCATTTTTCAAAAATCCCTAAAACACGATTTTCGGGACAACCGTTACAGTCATTTTGAGCCGTAAATGGGGTATGTTTGACGCTCCATGTTTCCAGGTTTGAACGAGTTTTGGAGACATGTCATATCGCCAGGAAGTGTGCATTGTGTTATTCATACTGGCGTAAAGAATCATTACAGTATTCAAGGTCACTCAAGGATACGACAGTAGCTTCGCTACATGTTACATGTCCACCAAAAATAATAGCGGACATGTACTGTCCAGGAAACTGTTTGTATCTATAGAAAAGTGTTGTTTTTCATCTGTTGCAATGCACGGAGGTAGAAAGGCTTAGTAAATGACCGCAGGTGACCCCGAAATAGAACGCGGGTTCGATTCGAATTCCCCAGATCGAACACGATCGAACACAGTTCGGGTTCTATGACATGTGGGAACTTTTCAGCCCAGATTTTACCACCGTGCACTGGATTTACCTTCAATGTTGACATTGTTGATGTTTTAGCACATTTAGAAAGCTATTTCTTTCTTTTCCTTGTTTCCCCCTGCATACAGTCAGGACCAACATACCTGCCATCTGGCTCTGATTGTGGCACCCTGCTTGGTGACATCCACACACAACAAGGCCCCTCTGTTCCACATGACAGATACATGGATACACCTCCATGACCCCTGACATCCCCTTCCTTCCTGCATGATGAGACACAGATGGAAATATTTAACTTCAGGCTGTACCAATGCCATGTCTTGTAGCTCAGATTTCATACTGCTTGGGAAAGTTCACACCTAATGTAATGTAATGTCGACACTGCTTGGAACTTGTCAAGTGCAAGACTTGAAAAAACAACAATAACTGCAGGGATAGATTCTGATATGTTACTCAAGCATCTTTCCCTGGAGAGACAAGAGTGAGTTTATTTTTCAAAGGAATGACAGGTAGGATGTAAAGTTACATATATTTTGGTGAAAATATGTGTTTTACCGATATTTGCTACCCGGTAGTAAACCTATGGAGGTAGATTGCTACACTTGGTAGATTAGGCAATGTGGGTTATCAAATGGCATGTATGGGAGAAGGCATAAAAGATCAACACTAATTGACAATTTTGATATCTGATTTATCTGATGGAACATCCTTGGTTTTACTCTTTGATTTGCAAGCCTTGCAGCTTGGGTAACACTTGTGGAGTCATTGTGACTCACAGTCCTAGATATAGTGTCAAGTGGCTATTTCCTATGGTTAACTTTTAACTTTCATCCATTTCGTCATTCTTCATTCAAGAAAACACAATCACAATAAGACATTCAATCAGGTTGATGGCAGATTTAGGATACTGCATGGAGGTATGAAAAAAGGTTGAATTCATACCTCCATGGATAGTGAACAGCACATTTGTTGTAAGTAGTCATTTCACATTACTAAAATCTACTACATAAATGTAGCTGTACTGGTCATGGGAGCTGGACAACTAGGGAGTTCTAGACCTGTATCCAACATTGGGCTTCATCACTTACATAAAGTAAATACTATAGTAACTCACCCTCTCCCCTCCCCCATAAGCAAATTTCAGGAGTTACTAGAGGTAAATTTCTTCCTGACCTCACAAGACCTTCCAGCCTTCCTGTGGGTAGAAAACAGGAAACACAAAACCCACAAAGCATATTCCACCAACAGCTGTCATTGATATTTCTGACACTGGATAAATTGTAGCCCCTCTTTAATTAATAACACACATACAGCTTGAGGGTGTGATAGGGTCTTTCAGGCCTTCCAATTTTGATTTTCTTACTCCAGTCCAGGTACCAGGAATGCTTGGCATGATTGTTTAGAAAGAGATCCATGTAACTTTTCAAAGGAATTTGCACCAACTGAACATTTATTTGAAAGAATAGTTTTTATGTTGTCTTATTTCCTTTCACTGAACAGTAGGGTTTTATACATACATGCACTTCATTTAATATTCCTAGTCACCCTGAAATGCAATTTCTGGAACATGACAATACTGTCAATAGTAGCCTGACTTTTTTTGCCAGCTTCGCGATATTCTGCCACCTCTCTGAGTGCCGGACAAAGAGCTTGTGTACACTAGTACAATAGTATCTGTATATATGTGTATTAACTTTTAATTTAAGGTACTTTGTTTTGTATCGAAATCATGATCCTTGCTGATTCACTTGTTCATATATACATGTACCTTAGACACTGAAATAATTGTGTTCATCATATTAAAGCATGCACAACCTCTTGCATGTGTGAAACAACTAGGGGCAAGTAGAAACACGAAAACCCCTCACTCTCAGGAATCAACCCACAGGCCCAGCTCGAGTAGCCTGGGTACCATCCTACTTGTATACCGGGGCTCCCACACTTCCCTAAGGGAAGCGAGTGTGGGAGCCCCGGTATACAAGTAGGATGGTACCCAGGCTACAGCTCGAGAACCCAATTCACCAACTGCTAGGTTAAAAGATCCGGACCTGTTAGACAGGTCAGTTGATGGCACTTGAGTTGAATCCCACTGTTCCCCCTTTTCTTTTTTTTAGATTCATCCTCCAATCACAACTCAACAATGAAGAGCAAGAAATGGGCTTGCTTTGGCCCATGGGATCTCCACACCTGGATTCAGTCAGCCACAACAACTTGGCCCCTTACTCCCTTTTCCCATCCAGCCAGACTTGGCGCAGTGACAACAACACCATCTCATATTGGCAGGCAGCAGACAGCAGCAGGACCTGGCACTCCTCCAAAACATTCCTGCCCAAGTAGGTCATTCTAGAACAAAAGATTAAAAGACTTACCTCAACACCCCAGGAATAACCACAGGCCTGCTGAAAGCAGTACATTGCTTACAAATTCAATACACTTTTTTAGTTACTTGTATAGAATAGTTGATGTTTACAGTTTTTGCGGTAGATATTGATATTAGAGTTCCCATCAGAGAAGGTGTATAAGATTATACAGCACCATTGTAAACTGATGATTATATCAATCAATTAGGCCAAATTAATGCAATTTGTTGGTTTTAGGAATTAAAAAAATGCTGAACCTACTGAACCAGGAAGCCAATAATTTCCTCCCAACCCTTTTTTTCATCTTCACCTCTAGCTAAATTTTTAGGTAAAAAATGAAGAAAATAAAATAATATGACCCTTATCTGTTGTGTTGTTCTTTTGACTTTGCCACTGAAAGGGCTGCTTGGACAGTAGCCTTGTAACGTATTTGGTACAAACCTACTGCCAGTGAACCCCAGAACTTTGGTAACTGAAAATCCTTAGTTTTAAAGCACGTTCCATAGTTTGGCCTTACTCCAGCCTATCCTGGTACGTCACTCTTCCCAGGAGGTTAAGTTAGAAGCTGCAAGTTCTCATGCTGCCTTTCAAGTTCAAAGGCATGAGGTAAAAGCCAGCTCTAGTTAGCTTGGCCAAGAAATTGCCTGTTTGGTTTCACTCCCACTGGCTGGGCTGGCACCACAGATGATTCCTTGCTAAATTTGGGTCTGTTGGGAACCCCACTGCTATGTGGCATGAAATTTGGAGGTCAGAAAAACAGTAGTGTCAAGGGAAAGGGTTTGCAGGGGGAAGTCAGGCCCAGTCCAGATCAATTATATGGTTCACACACCACAAGGTAGCCATTGAAAGACTGTGAAAGGTGGGATCTGATTTAGACCTGGTTTACACGACGACAAAAACCTGGCGTACGATAATGGCGTACGCACGCGATCGTACGACAATTGCGTACGACCATTTTTTCCAGCGTGTAAACCGGCCCCACCTATCGTACGCACCTATCGTACGCAATTTGCGTACGCCACCTCGAAGGCAGGCGTACGATCGTGTACGATCGCCCAGCGGGGAGTCAGGATGCCTCCCCGCCTCGTGTAAACGCGACTGATCGTACGAACGGCGTTCGCAAGCACTTCCCTGTTGCAGGAGGTCAGGGGTCATATGCAAATTCCATTCTTCTTCCCGCGCCTGTGAAAACCCATGCCGTGTTACTGATCTTTACTCTGTTTTCTCTGATCCGTTTCGGTTTTCCTTTTGTTTTTTTATCGTATTTGATTTGTTTGTTGTTTTGCTGAGCCTGTTTGCTCGCGACTGCCGCAACTGACCATGGCAGAAGTGCGCAATAGCTCTAACTGTCACGTTCCCACACTGACCGATCGATCCCGCCTTGAGCTTGAATGATTGCAATGCCCGGCGACGCAAGTACATCCGCGAAAAGAAGAATAGCAACATCTGACGCATGAAGAACAGAAAAAGAGCCTGTTCTCCCGCCATTTTGAAAATAGCGCTATGTCAAAGCTCGCGGCGGGTCAAATGGGGTCACGATAGTGTGGAGCGCTGCGGGAGTCCCGGCGCTGTCCGTCCCGCTCCGTGTAAACCGAAACGGACGTACGATCGCGTGCGTACGCCATTATCGTACGCCAGGTTTTTGTCGTCGTGTAAACCGGGTCTTAGAGAATCTTCCAATCCTAGCTCCTAGACCTAGTCCTAGGTAGTCTGCAATTTACTTTTACACTAGATGTGAATATTTCTGAATTATCCCAGTCTGTTTTAGTCTTAAAATCAAATTATCATCTTGTGACTACAGTTTTTTTTAAACAAACAAACAAACAAACAAACAAACTGAAGGAGCTATTTTATTCATGGCCAGGCAGTTTTTATCCACGCATAACCATGAATATACACATTATGTAATACAGATAACCCCACAAATGGATTTTCTTTTTTTTCCCTAGTCTTGTCCTGAGGAAAGCATGCATCACATCAGGATTCAGATGCATACAGTTGCTATTCCAAGGCTCTGATGAAATGATGGGAATGCAGGGCTGGAGCCCAGGTATGTTGGAAAGCAACAAGCATAGAGTCCATCAAGAAATTACAGGTTATGAAACCACCTGTAAATTAGAATGTTGACTGCCTCATGGCTGAGAGTGTACTAGTATGCTGATAATGCGAATACATTTCAGCACCAAGGGCAAAACAAACTTGGGCAGAGATTGCGATGTTCCGTTTAGGTTCAATTTTTACTTCTCAGTATTATTTTGAGTGGCTGTGTGCCAATGGTTTGTCTTACTGCTTGTCTAGAGTAAGTTGACAGC